AAGGAACGAATGCGGGAGCTGTGTATGTGGAAGGAGGTAGATCCTAACATGTGAAGACTCAATGTTATACAGATCTTAACAAGTGCACACTGTAAAACACCATTCGATGTTAAAGATAATTAACTATTTATAAAAGTGTATGACCGCGATAAAGTTTTCACGTAGATTAATCAGAAACAAACAATATGTGTAAATATAATAATGTATGTTCAGCTTTAATGTCAGGAAAAAGACAGGATAGATACGTAAAATTTTACATAGCTGCAATGTCTTTTTACTGTTTGATTTTTAATTTTAATTTCACTCACTGCCTTTCCGTTCTTCTTATCTTAGCTTTTATCTGTGCTCTAATTTTAGGTAGTTTTCCCAGTGAGTAGTGGAGTAAAGCAAGGTGGCGTGCTGGCTCCTACTTTATTTGCAATCTTTTTCTCCATCCTACTCCAGTATGTCTTTAAGAACAACAGCGAGGGGATATACATCCACACTAGAAATGACGGAAAATTATTCAACATTGTCCGCCTTAGAGCTAAGACTAAAACAAGAAAGGTCTTGCTGCGGGAGATTTTGTTTGTGGACGTAGCCTCTTTGGTATCTCACACAGCAGACGGCCTGCAGAGCGTCTTATCCAGCCTATCCGCTGCCTGCAAAGAGTTTGGCCTGACAATTAGCCTAAAGAAAACTAACATTATGACACAGGGCGCTGACTCCCTCCCCACTATCGCCATCGACGACTACGACTTGGATACTGTTGACAGATTCACATATCTGGGATACAACATGTCGAGCACCCTCTCAATGGAGGATGAGATAAGTTAAAGGATAGGGAAGGCCGCAAACTGTTATGGCCAGACTGAAGAAAAGAGTCTTGTCAAATGCCAAACTCACAACAAGAACTAAGCTGCAGGTGTACCAGGCCTGCGTACTGAACACACTTCTGTATGGATGCGAGTCGTGGACCACATACTATAACCACGAAAGAAGGCTCATAGCTTCAAGCTCAGATTCCTACGCCACATCCTTGACATTAAATGGCAAGACAAAGTCCCCAACACGGATGTCCTGTCCCAAACAAACATGTGTAGCGTCCCAGCCATGTTAATCCAAAGACGCCTCCGCTGGCTTGGACACTTCAAGCGAATGCAACCTGGTCGCATACCAAAGGACGTGCTATACAGCGAGCTGGCAACAGGGAAAGGTCAGTTGGACGGCCTCGTCTGAGATACTTAGACATAGGCAAAAGAGACATGAAGTCGGCCAACATCGACATCTCAAACTGGGAGGAGCTGGCAGAGGATCGATCCTCATGGCGGGGCATCGTGAAGGCAGGATCACTACATGCCGAGGATCAAAACAGGGCGGAAACAGCTGCAAAAAGAGCAAGAAGGAAGGCCGGTGAATACTGCTCCACCGCATTGATGTGTGGGAAATGTAACAGAGACTGCCATTCGAGGATTGGTCTCACCAGCCACACGAAGAGCTGCAAGCAATAAAGATAATCTATCGTCTCCCGCAGACGGAAAGATGCCATACAATACAATACAATATATATGTAACCTAACCAACATACTCGGCGTGGTTCGGTATTGCATTAGGACCCCAATCCCGTCGCAGCCTCACTTCCCGGTTTGATACCGAAAGGATCCCGTTTCCAGGTTTGATTGCGTAACCGATGGGTTCCAGGTCACTGTTTGATCTGGTTCCCATTAAGATCCTGTTCCTGTATGGGATCATTCTCAGTTCGATTTCGTTCGAAAAAGCTTTTAGATCCTATTATATATCCCCGCAGAACAATTCTAGATAACATTTAATATCCTCCATGAAACGTGTAAAAAATACTTTTCTATGTAATTGCTATGTAGGACATATTTACACCTTATTTCTCTCTCCCCCCCCCCCCAACCATACTGTTATCCCCAGGAGACGCTGCCTTCGTGTGTGGCATGGCTTATTCCTTTTGATCTTGTTATCACAAACCTAGCTATCGCCTGTTCTTGTTGACTCAATGGTTATAGAAGATGATAATAAATTGTGGAATGATCCAGTCACTAATACAATGCCCAATACGCCTAGGAAATTCCATGGACGATAGTCTATTATTTCTTCTTCTATATCTTAAGGGCCCACGATCAATGTATTGATCGTTTTGACTCCTATGCATGTAGATGGGATTTGCAATGTTTCTGTTCCTGGTGTTGATGAGGAAAGTTCATTGATATCCAGTGCCACTTTGTGAGGGAATCATGCACTAGGGTTTTGAAGGCTTGAGGCAATAGACACAAATGTGTCTAGTATTGTCGCCTCAACCGTTCCTTTTGAAAGATTATTCCAGTCCCTGATTGTCTTGGGCAAGAATTAGCAGCTCCTATACTGGCTTCTTGCTGGTATGAGCCTGAATTGCCTGTCATTGCCTCGGCACTGTGTATGAGGGAGAGGGACGAGTTTCTGTTTAATACTGGAACAGTGGACTAGCCCATTATTTATCTTGTACATCATTGAGAGCCTGGATTGTCGTCATCGTTCCTCCATTGGTGACCAGCTTAGTGTTTCCAGCATGCTGTCAACACTAGTGGTTGAATGACACAGTAGACTACAGAGCAGATACGCTGACAACTTGTGAGGGTTATTTTGTAACGTGTGATAGTTTGTTTACTGTTGATTTTTTTTTTCATTATTTGTCCATTGTACATTTCTGCACACTGTGTTTTATTTCGACTTTGTACTGGTACCAGCCATAAAATTTTCAGTAGTTGATGATTTTTAATTATGTTCTTTTATTTTTTAATCAATAATAATTTAAACAATCTTACTTATTGTAATTAGTACTGGTATGTGTGTCGTATTTTTGCCATTATATTTCTCATATGGTACCGTCCTTTGTTATGCACTGTTTAGAACGAGCCATAACTTAAAACAAGAGATTAATTTCTCACTATAGACAGCAGTGCCTAGCCGTAATTATTTCTCGAATGCTAAATGTAACTATAGTACATTTGAATTAAAATACGGGCCCAGGTGGAGACCCTTTTCATAAAGTACCGTTTTAGTTAAGTCTGGGACAGGTGGGTTGGGGGGGGGGGCTATACAATATAATTCAGATAAACTATAGAGTTAAAACTTAACATGTGTCTTATTAAAATCGATTTAAGAATGCCATAGATATCGCTGTTTTAAACAATAGTATTTTCTAGAAAAATCTAGATATCTCCTAATAATATAGCATATTATTAGTTTTAAGTCCACCGGTAAAGCAATATTGACTAAGAAGGGTAATGACCAAAGCTAGGCCTAGATCCATAGATTCACATAGAGCCAATAGCGTTGGCTAATCCCATTGAAACTGAGAGGGTTTATATAAGGAAAAATTAACTGGGCCCCCCCCCCCCCAGAGGAATGGATATTTTGAGTTCAATACACTTCGGTATTTTAATATGAATAATAAGCTATTTGTACTAAGTTTGGTCAAGATCCATCTACTCATATAGGGGGATTTGTCTTAAATTTTATTTATACAGCCAATGTAAAGAAAAAAAAACGAATTCGGGGCGCCCAGCCCCAAACGAAATGTTAAAAGAAGGTCATAACCCCTTAAGAGTTTTTTCTGGATACAGATGGATATATAAGCCAAATTTAGTCAAGATCCATCGTTCCATGCAAAAGCCTTTGTGGAACAAACAAACAACTTTTCACTTTTAGAGTGATGGATATTATGAGGTCAGCACCCTTTGGTATTTGAACTTGGATCATCAAGTGTATGTGTAGTAAGTTTGGTCAAGATCCATCTATTCATGTAGAGATACTAAGTCTATTGATACTTACATAGCATATAATAGAAACAAAATAAATTGGGCGCCGGCCCCAGAGGATATTATGATATTGTGAGTTTAGTACCATTCGATATTTGAGTATGGATAATAAAATATATGGGTACTAAATTTGGTCAAGACCCATCTACTCATGTAGGAGTATTTGTTTCTAATTATTTTGATATAGCTCATATAATGGAGAAAAAAAAACGAATTCGGGGATCCCGGCGCAATCCCGTTCCCATGTGTGATCCCGATCTCGGTGGGATCCCATTTTCTTGTGCCTCTGGGTCCATGGGGGATCCAGATCCCGGTGGGATCCAGATCCGATGGGTATCTTGATTCCGATGGGATCCCGATCTTGGTGGATTTCGATGGGCTACCGATCCCATCAAGATACCGCTTTCTATGGGATACCGTTTCACCTATGGACTCTATTTTCCAATTTTATCCCGTTTCCCGATTGGACGCTTATCCCAGTTTGACCCCGTTACCCCATGGGATCACGTTACCAATGGGTTCCAGTATACTAATGGATCTCGCTCCCGATTAGTATATTATTCCTCTATGGGATCATGCTCAGTGCGATTTTGTTCGAATAAGCTTTTAAATCACGTTACATAACCCTTTAGAACAATATAGAACCTTCTGGAAGATTCTAGATTTAATTAATGCTCCATGAAACTTGTAAAAAAACTACTTTTCTAAGTAATTATTTTTCAAATACGAAATATTATAAAGCTAATAATGATGAATATATGTGCCAAGTTTGGTCAAGATCCATCAATCCATATAAGTATGTGGAACAAATCCATCCACAAAGAACGAAAGATATATGAATATGATATATGATAGGATTTGATGATATACATGATAGAATGCAAATATAATTTATACTTTTATAAATGTTTTTGTACTGATGAAGGCGTTTACCTCAGCATTTACATTTCTATTTTGTTATATCACCATCATAGCTGCACATATATTTTTTATTAAAATTAACTCATATTGTTTGTGCCTAATAAATCGAAGCTTAAAATATACACATTTAAAATTTTGGTCTACTAGATTAATCAAATTTCTTAGCAAAGAGATTCTAACATTTGCATACCTAATGATAAAAAATAATGGATCTTAGGACTCGTTCGAACTATCATACAACATTTACTTCTTACCTGGATGTGGAATGAGTAGGCTAGACATTTCTAAGCTCGTGTTGTCATCTGCCCATCTGTAGACTACTTCGTTCTCTATTTTATTTAATCCAATCCAGTAGTAACCTCGAAGAAACTGACCAAGGTCTTGTAAGATGTTGGCTTTCTCGGTTGTTTTAAATGTGTACAGATTTGCGCCTTCAGCTGCTCAAAAAAGAGATGAAACTTTGGGTACACATTGCGTCTATGGCAGTTTCTTTGTATGGTACATTTTGATCAATAACATATGAATTGTTTAGGACTTCTTGATGCTATGATAGATACAATATTTTGTACATATTGATTCTATGATTGACGAATTGTTTGGTACAAATAGTATTTATTGTTTATTTATTTATTTGTTTAGGCTTTTTTATATAGCGCTTACCTTAAAGCTCCAAGCGCTTTACAATTATTAAAAACATGTAAACTAACTAAAATAAAAAAATGAGACATTAGGATAGTAACTACTATACTATAGAAACAATTAAAATGGCACGTTTTGGCCTATATTACAGGATTAACCCGAGACAGAAAATGAGGCAGGGCAGAGAGGGTGCATCACGGGTCATAGGCGGACCTAAACAGATGGGTTTTAAGGGATTTTTAAAAAGTGGACGAGGTTTCACAATGACGGATATGGAAGGGGAGCTGGTTCCAGAACGTGGGCCCACGGAAGTAGAAGGAGCGTTCACCAATGGTCTTAGTTTTGGTTCTTGGGATTGAGAGGGTTCTACTGTCAATGGAAGAACGTAGTTGTCTTGTGGGGATGTAAGGAAGCAATAGATTATATTACAGATTAGTTGTACTGTACACATTGTTTGTGATATAGCTAGATTGTTTCGTACACAATGTTTGTATGGCAGATAATTTCCCGGTGCGCAATGTTATTATGACTGATGAATGGCTTGGTACACACTTCTTCCATGACAGTGAAACCATAAGTAAATTACTGTAACGGATCTAGTTATGGATCAAGATATAGACATATACGCTTGAAAACCTTCTTTAAAAATTCTTTTAACATTTTTTATTTCGTGCTTTGTAGTATTGCATGTACATCTATAGCCTGTGTTTTGACCTAATTTTGTTTCAAAGTAAAGGTAAAAGCGCACATCACTTATCTTCCTCTCCATGGTTGTGATATGAAAATAAACTATTAAATGTTTAGCACTCTCCCAGTACCCACTCTCTCTAAACTGGGAAAAGGTTGTTTACGTTCGAGTATATTCTAAATGTGGAATTGGGAGAATACGCTCGTTTAATGCAAGTTTTAGAATTTCTTTTTTGAACGTTTCACCTCCCTCTTTATATATAAGCTGGAAGCTAAGCCAGCCGATTGAGATTTGCTGGATTCAAAGACACTAAGTTTATTCGAGACTTAATATTCTTTCTGGATTTTTTCCTGTATGTAGATTAACATTCTTGTAATATTATTTTTATTTAATGTTTCTGTATTTTAAGATTTCTTTTTTTAGGAATATTTGATTTTGTATTTTTATATAAACTTAATAGTTGAACAAAATTAAATATTGTTAATATCACTAGCTTTGGTTTTGACTTTCTATGTACACCTATTTTAGTCTTGTGTTGTGTATTGTTTATGCAACGAACCAAATAATACATCTGATTACATTTACAAAAAGATATAACCAGACGGTGTTGTTCGTCCGTCAACATCGAATGGGACCATGTAGCCACTCCCTTTGGGGGAGCGTGCTATGGTGAGTTTTCGAGTCCAACCGTGCTAGGAATGATCTCTGACACATCGGGCAGAGGATAGTTGCTGTAGTCGGTGATCCAATGTTGCTCTTTCGGGTTAGCCTGCTTCACTCAGCTGTGGCTAACCTACTGCGGCTTCATGAGATTGAGCCCCCTTCTTGACAGCAGATCTCCACATGGCTTTGTCTTGGGCTGTCTGCACAATTCAAGATGATTGAAGACCTTAAGTGCCGCTTTCAGTGAGTCCTTGCAACTTTTTTTTCTTTTAAAACCTCCTTGGTGGCGCTTGCCTAGCGGGAGTTCTCCGAAGACTATCTGTTTAGGGACCCGGTTGTCTTCCAGACGGGCTACATGGCCCATCCAACGGAGTTGGGACTACATCATAACCAAAAGAAAAACTTAACCAATAAAATACATTAAAAAGTTAAAGATAATCATACCTTTCAAAAAGAATTTAATTTAAAAAAAAAAAAAACGAAATTTGAATATTGTCCAATTTTAAAATGGGACTACATCATAACCAAAAGAAAAACTTAACCAATAAAATACATTAAAAAGTTAAAGATAATCATACCTTTCAAAAAGAATTTAATTTAAAAAAAAAAAAAACGAAATTTGAATATTGTCCAATGTTAAAACTATTTTAGGCAACACAAATGTACAATGATGATTTTACCTAAACATTTAGGCAAGAGCTTTTAAAAAGTCTCACAGTGGAGGATCTTTTGAATATAAAAGTTTAGCCACACGGTTTTTCAGCTTTGCTACCCTGATGCTGGAGATTATCTAGAACTTTCAAACAATACGAACATTTATGAATAAATTGTAAAAAATATAACTATACAGCGAATAGAAAAATAAATAATCTTTAAAAAAAAAATCACATTCATAGTTACACTTTTGAACACAATAACATTTTAAAGATTTTTACGTTTCCCGTTACATTCGCACGAAACACATAGAAACTGAAAAATGTTGTTCGTCCGTCAAAAATCGATAATGACCATTTAAACAACAGTTTGTTAATGGTGCTTGTCGTCGGGGCTTGCTGCTGAGGCTGAAACTGGCTGTGGGTGCGCAGATGGCATATGAAATGTTATTGTAGAGAAGTCAAGGGATGGATGGGTCATCTACAGGTAGTGAGTGAACTCAAAGATCTTTTTTTAGGTATACGTTCTGTTAGCCACCTGTTGCATTTAACCCGTGTGTATAAGGAGGGTCGCCACGAGATCTTTATCTTCTCGAACCGTGGAGAACTCTTCCCAAATATCCGGTTCAATGTGAAATGCTCGCAAAGTTGCTTTTACTGTTTGGTGTATTTCTTCACCCCCTCTCCGTACCCCCCACACCCCCCCCCCGGCAAATCACTTCACCTGTTTGAGTTGAACATAAAATTCTCTTTTGGACAAGATTCGTCTGCTAATCTTGCAAAAAGTCCAGCGCAGTGAACCTGCGGCTGGTTTAATAATCTGTCAGTGCTAGAGAAAAATATCTCTGCGAGTACACCTAAAGCTGGAACCTTGTCCTGACATCTGAGGTTAATGATTTGTCAGGGGCTCGTGGTTTGAAAATGGTTTTGTTTGCTATCGTGGCGTTGAAAGGCTGTCCACGTTTCACTTTTCTATATATTAGCGTTTGTAACGCAGCTGTCTTGTAAAAGTTTATTTTGTTATTTGGTGCTTATGCCACACCTTGTCCGTAAATTCGTAAACATTATTCCGAGCATTGCGCTGGATCTTGCAATTCGAGTGTTCCCCTCATCATCGATGTTTACGCTCAGGTACAGGGTGCTGTCAAGGTTAGTGAAGCTGTTTACAGCTTTCGCCATGTGGTGGGAAATGATAGAGACACCATGCACTGTTCCTATAGCTTAGCCTTCATACTATTGCGGAACTGCCGAACTACTAAATTTAAATTTGAGGGCATACATAGTGCCAACGATTGCAACATACCAACCAGTATGTCGTGACACACTGTTTGGAAACGTTTCATGATCATCTTGTCTAAGCCGGCTTAATGAATGTCCCGTCAAAATGTATGCACCAATTTATATGTCAAAAAACTAAGATATTAAAATGTCTTGTCCTACAAATATATATTTTTGAACCAAAAAGAATAGTTTTTCTGCAAACATATTTAAATAAGTTTATTTAATTCAATGAAGACAAACAATGATATATTTAGAAGTGTGTGTGTTACTTCAAACGAACATTAATAAGTATAGGCCAAAACGTGTCAAAGTGTCCTCGTTTTATAGCCATTTTCATTGTTTCTGTAGTATAGTAGTTACTATCCTAGTGTCTCATTTTTATTTTACTTAGTTTACATGTTTTTAATAATTGTAAAGCGCTTAGAGCTTTATGGTAAGCGCTATATAAAAATGTCTAAATAAATAAATAAATAAATAATAATAGTAAGCTTACCTATACAAGCAGCTCTGGCTGTTGTGTAGCTAGTATGTATATTTGCTATCCAAACACACACGGTAGTACCTCCTTTTGTCACCACCTTGAAGTTGGCCGTGGTGTTACAGAATGTCTTTAAAATCATCGGGTCAGCTTGAGTCTGTATGGACAACGTAAATCCATCGTTGGAATCGCCTGTTGCATGAAATTTATTTTGAATAGTTATACAATAAAAACTTAAAAAAACATTCTATGTATAAAAGCAAATTCAAAATGTTTTTTACAAATAACTGTAAGTTCCGGACACTGACATAAATAATCCTAATACGTTAACTAACAATATCGAAATTAAAATAATTCCCCCATTTTATTGAAGAAATATTGAGAATTTTAAAAAAAAATGATTGAAACGTTTCCTTACAAGAAGGGATATTAATTGCACAAACGCTATTAATTTATTGTGTTATACAAAAAAAATGACTTACAAGACATTTTATTTCTGGTACATACACTACTTGCGTTGGTTGGGTCACAGAACAGTCCCAGAGAGTAAAGTTCAGTCATTTCATTCCGTGTGGTTTGGGACGGTATGATCCAGTAACCTTAATTAGACACGATTAATTGATTTAAAATATTTTAAAATAAACATATTTTAAAAAAAAACTATTCAATTAGTTATGGTTGATAATTTGCAATGCTTTTCTTAAAAATCGTTTTACTTAAATAATTCTCATTATTACATGTCTAGTTTAGAAATTAATTGTAAATATTTGTGTCTTATGTTTGCCTATTTTTAAAGTGAGGTATAATATGCAGATTATTCTTTGGTCTCAGCAAGCAATGTCTACTCTGGTTTAGCCATGTACAGAGAGTGGAGGCAGGCCGTATTCCAAAGAAGCTGCTGTATTGAGATTTTGCAAAGGGGCCAGATTTATTCAATGGCACCGGTTGCTATTCAATCACACTTTTTAGAAGGTACATGAGGTAAGCAAACATGGGAGATCATTGCTTAGCAACGTTCCCGCTGGCTAACAGCAGTCTATGAAGGAGCAAAACAAGGTGGCCAATCGATGGTCGGTTTCGTAAGCAATTTTAGAAAGTGTCAATAGCCACTCCAAGACCACGCGAAGACGTAAGAATGTCATTTATAGATATACACTTTGTGTTCATTCTTTCATGGATTAACTGTTCGTACTCTTAGTTTCTAGTACATCTTAATCTTGTTGGCGAAGAGCCAGACTTCCCCTTTAGACTCACGTTTATATTAAAAATAACAATTAATATTTTTGCTTAAGGCATTAAATAATTAAATCCAAAGTTCTAACATAAGTCTTTATTAATTGATAAAAATGGGTCATGATATATCTGAAATAAAAAAAAGCTATAATTTCAAAAAAGATTGTGTTAATGGTGACATAGCGTTAAGATATATAATAAATAAATTGCCACACGATTTAAATTATTTAAATAATCAATATCATACGATGTCAAACTTTGTTTTTTAATCATGAAATTATTATAGACTTACCCATTGTACACAACCTCGTTGCTTTGTTGTAATAAAAACTGCAACATTTCTTCTGAGAGTTGCGACAGTTGAGAGCACAGCTTCCGAGTGTTACACTGTATGTTGTTATATTTATTGGATGAAGTGCAAGATTCAAGTCCGTAATCTTTAGCAGTGACGTCAGTTTGACCTCAGCTGCTACTCTGACGACTACAACGGATGATTAAAACACGTTTTATTGACACAGATCAAAACACGTGCTATTTAAATTAAATTGGCTTTATAAAATATCAATTAATCCGATACAAGAAATCAAAATCATACACACACACACACACATATATATATATATATATATATATATATATAAATATTGATATATATATTTAAAAAATAATAATAAAAAAAAGAAAAAGAAGTATTATATAGAGCGGTACCCCAGCCTAGGGCTGCGCTCACCGCGCTGTACATAAAAATTTTACAATGATAAATATTAAAACACGTTTTATTGACACAGATCAAAACACGTGCTATTTAAATTAAATTGGCTTTATAAAATATCAATAAATCCGATACAAGAAATCAAAATCATACACACACACACACACATATATATATATATATATATATATATATATAAATATTGGTATATATATTTGAAAAATAATAATAAGAAGAAGAAGAAGAAGTCTTATATAGCGCGGTACCCCAGCCTAGGGCTGAGCTCACCGCGCTGTACATAAAAATTTTACAATGATAAAAGTAATTTTTTTTTTGTTATCATTTTCTTTCTTTAAATTTATGATGCAGTTAATATTGTTTTCAATGATTATGTGAAATAGAACACTTTAGCACATATTTCATTCAATTGTTTTGGGAATTATATTTTGATGATTACTTAAACACAGAAAACGTTGTGCGCAAAACAAAAATTAACATCTAATCAAATCCATGTACCCACCTGTTACGTCTAGTAGAGCGATAAGGATAATCTTCATTACTACGATTTCTTTCTTCATTTCTGTATTGATTTTCAAGAGATCTGGCAATGGCGCCCGATAGTCACAGTCAAAGGATTAACTGAAGGAGTATTAATATTTATTTATTTTAAAAAAATTATTTTTAACTAATTTCTGTTGTATATTATAATTTCTTGAAAAAAAAATTATTGTAAAGATTAGCTAATAAACCTTGTCTCTTTAACAAAAAAAAAGAGTAGTCTCTGAGTAAAAGAAAATTTAACCCCAAAGCTAATTGCACGTTTTGAAAATGTAATAACCTAAATGAATTTTTTCCCAATTCTGCTCACTTGTATATATTGTTAGGGTAAGCATGTTGATATAGGTTTCGTAGCATTTTACTTGAGTCTTAACTCTATTTATTTAAGCAAAGTGTCCGACGACCTACTTTTGTTAAGAGAGTGACTTTATTTTTTTTTAAACATTTGAATAGTGTAAAAAATCATTCGAATTATTGCTCAGTAAAATATAATTTTATAAAAATTAAAATGTAACTTATCATATGTTAACACTAGAATTAAATGATAAGCTAATGTCATTTTCATAATTATAATATTATTTCCAATATAGAAACTTTAAAAAATCCACACTCACAATTATGTTTTGTTGAAATAATACGAATTATAATTTGTTAAATATATTTTAAAAGAACGCTTTGAAGAAAAAAAAAATTCAAAAACTCCCTTTCGATTAAAGGGCCCTGACTTAGAAATTGTAAAGTGCACTCAAGAGCCTTTACATCTACAATTAATTTAAATACACATTCGCTCACTGTTATTTATTTAAGCACGTAACAACTCAACTGTTCTCACCAATGACTTGTTAGGAGACCTATAAAAAATTAGAGCATTATTCTCAAGAATGAAAACCATAATTGCAATGTAAACATTTAAAAAAACATTTACATTTTTTTTTAATCAAAGAAGCACTTTATCATCTGATCTCTTCTTATCTTTTTATTAATTTAAAATCATTTTTTTTTAATTAACTGGTTTAGCTCGCGACTCCATATAAAATCCTTTTCAGTCTGTCGTGAATCATGGGCTAGGAACCATTGATTTAACCGCTCAATGTTTATTTCTCAGTGTGAGTTGGCGTGTTCAAACATGTCAAGTTAAAGATAATCAATGTCAAAAGAAGACATCTCGTCGCAAACCTTTTAAACTCAATGAAGCAATCAATGAACATTGTGTATATCATGTATGAAATGTGCATTTTAAACAGTCAATACTTGTACAAAAAAAACAACAACTATTTTAATTGTATAAATATTTTTTTTTAATGAATGATACATATTGTATGACACCCTGAAAATCCACATTATCAACCCCCAACATTTATCAACCCTTACAACTTTTATCAACCCCTACAACTTGCGGCAACACATCACCAATCCCTCTACGTGACGCCTCCCTGATAAAAGCGGACAGATAAAACGATCTATGAGTATTCAATCAACCTGAATGTTCCATATTGTGAAATGCCATAACGTAATGGTCATTATAAACATTGCATTAATCTACACCATAAACCCTTTCATAATCATCGATGTACACAATGGCGTACTATGATTGGTGTCAACCGGTGCGGCAAGTTTCCATCCCCCTACGCCCCTTCCCTTGACTTTCACGGTGGATTTCTTCATGTTAAAATAAGTCCTCAGGATAACAATCCCAAGAATAAAAACTAAAACGAGTTAAAATGTATTTAAGAACTGGAAGAACGTTAGTTTATTGTTATTTTTACATTAAATTGAACTTATTTCATATTTTCCTTTCCTGGTTTTCAAATCTGTACACCTGTCAATCACTTGATTAAAATCATCATCCTTCACCGTTTCATTTTTAATTGATTTTGGAGCCATTTAAGAAAGCATTGACTGTCCCATGTTGGATCGTAAATAGTTCTTGATAAGCCTTAGTTTCAGAGTAAAAGCGACCAATACAATCTAGCATTGTCCTGCTAGTTTCTTTTCACAGAGATTCTTGCATCTATTAAGTGTTCTCCTGCCATTCTCTTCTTTAAAGTTGATTTGCTCGGCACCAAAATTCAGTTATGGTCTTATTTTAAAAGTACATTTTCAAAGCATTTTCCAATAAGTGGCAGCGCTTCTCGAGCAGAAACAATCTTATCGCCTCTAGGTTTGTCACCATTTTGTCAAAAGTAAAGCCTTTAGTCTGCACATACTGCTGTGTAAGATGAACTTCCTCAAATAGATCAGCCCAAAGTTAAAGGTGAAAATCACACAGTTTAAATCCTGCTCGGAATCTTGGTTATATTCTTTGTAACACATGTCACTCAATAAATGTATCTCTCACATTTGTTGTTCTACATACACAGCTATCCGTCAGATTAGCTCCATCCACCACAACTTCCCAATTAGTGCAACAAAATCACTAGTCTGTGCTCTTGTTTTCTCTCGTCTTTGCTATTGCAACTTTCTTGTGTCTGTTTCAACAAAACACTTCATGGAAAAAAAACTAAAACAGGTTCAAAACTCAGCTGCTGGAGAGGGCATTTAGCCGAACCGTCCTTTTAATTGTTATGTCATTTTTTTAAAGCCTACACATATCTTTATGGCTTTATAGGACATATCTTTATGGCTTTATAGGACATATCTTCGTTCTGACGTAATGCTAATAATATAATACTAGTAATTATTAATCCACTATTTATTCGCTCAACTTACACTAAGACTCACGTCTTTTCACAAGGCATTGGCTGGATAAATGAGTTTACAAAAACACCCATAGCCATGAATAATTTCAGGATATCGTAGTAATAGTTATAATCAGAGACATCGCATTGATCCTGAAATCTCCACGGCCTTCAAGGGGCCTCATATGTTTTAGGGGCCTAAAGTTGCGACGTGAAACAAAAATAATGGGAAGACTATAAAATTGCTTTGAGTAGCTAAGAGCATAAACCGAAAAACTGCAGGAGGGCACCAAAAAGTCCCGCGACGACTCTGGCTATGCACATCATCACAGTCTTTGGACTGTCTTAACAGAATTGGGGGAGGGGAGGCTGGGCAATGTACTGCATTGAGGCTCACTATTCTCGCTTTTTTTGTGCCTTCTGTCTTTCCCTCTGTCTTTCACTGGACGTAACATTAAGTATACAAACACTTGAGCCCAAATACCACACGATACAAAAATTAATATCCAAATAGTGATCATACTGGAAATATTAATCAATGAAATTGATCGATACGTCTCCAGCTACCCCGTGAAAGAATGAAAAGCTGATTAGTTTGAGGCAACTGTTAGGCCTTTTGTTCATCATTTAGTGGTCCATTAAGCAAACACATATAAGTGTATTCCCTTACCGGCGAAAAAGACTTCGGCGAGAAAGACTTCGATGGTTGAACAGATAAAATTTAGAGCCGGCTGATAATACTTGGGCTCCGATTTGAAAGTTGTCAGTACAGAGTAAATCTGTCTAACTTTAATAAGTATAACGTGGGAAGGAATGCGTTACTGTGTAGGAAAAGTATTATCTTATTATCTGTTGATATTTGTTCTCTATTTTTAAATATTTTTTTCTACTTTTTTGCTGGTGAAGGCTTTACTCCGCTTCCTCTTCTTTTGTTGTTGTTGTTGATATTTCAGCCCCCACCCCATCTCTGTGAGTTATATTTTAATTTCTTATAACTTTTTTTAATGAAAACACTTTCCAAAATACTTACGCCGTATTCAAATAAATGAGGTAATATCAATACCCATCAACAATGAGTACCTGGCTTTGGCCCATACTGAAACGGAGAGTAAGAGACTGAAAATAGCCATTGACATGCTTATTCCCCCCACTCCCACACATAAATATGCATTACTTTGATCACCACATTTAAAGTGCCGCTTTGAAAAGTAACCGATAAGCAAACAAACGCAGAAACGGGCCTATTGGATCTCATGGTGTGTGCCCAATGCCTTTACATCCCTGGGACATAGCGTTGGTCTGACGTCACAGAGTACGAGTTTCTCTTATTGACTCTTTTAAATTTGGCTTTATGGATACTTGCTATCCAAATGGGTTTATGGGTACTTGCTATCCTAATGGGTTTATGGGTACTTGCTATCCAAATGGGTTTATTGGTGCCTGCTATCCAAATGGGTTTATGGGTACTTGCTATCAAAATGGGTTTATGGGTACTTGCTATCCAAATGGGTTTATGGGTACTTGCTATCCAAATGGGTTTATGGGTACTTGCTATCCAAATGGGTTTACGGTGAAATACTAAAAGGAAAGGCGCCGATGGAAAATGGCCATAAAAAGAAGACAAATGAAAAGTGGCCATTAAGAGAGGACACATGGAAAGTGGACATAAAGAGAGGACACATGGAAAGTGGCCACAAAGTGAGGTCACATTGAATGTTTGTGAACAGGACCCCCACCCATCCCCCCAAAAAGTGTTGAAGGAGAAAACAACTATGTCATTAATGACTTGACTGCTACATTGCATCCCTCATTACTAAGGGCATTTACGATGGGGACACTAATATGCCCACGAAGGACTTAAATGAATAGTTTACATTACTGAAGAAGAGAACATACGACGAGAAAGGCATCAGTGCGAAAAGTATCATACAAATAATAATAAATAGTCAAGACGATTGCTGTTCAACGGAGAATTGTCAACATGGCTCAGATTTCAATAAAAATATATATATATATATTTTTTAAACTCATTGTTTTCAGCTTTAGAAAACATCTACCCGCATAGATAAATGCTATACGCATAAAACAACTTACCCCACGACATGCAACACCAGCAGTACCTTCGACGTTTTAAATGGTCACACTATGAAAGGTGCCAAGTCCCCAAACACTTAAGATCGTCGGGTTGTCGGTGTCCCGAGTTAAAGCACTGTGGCTGTGTTCTACTATTGCTAACGTCAGATCAACCCTATCGATGAATGACTCGAGCCGGCACAGGAGCAGGGTGGTTAAATCGCAGTTTGTGGGGAGCGATTTAAAATAGGACGGGGTGGAGGGTGAGGAGTGTGGGTGTGAGTTGGTGGGGACGTGGGGGGGGGGGTCA